GGATTCATAGCACTGAGCCTTTTTCAGGGTGAGCTTTTAAGAACAAAACCATATCTTGGCTAAAACCACCTCTTTAGTAAGAACAGTTAGTAAGAAATAGAACTGCAAGAGTCAAAAGCAAGGTTAGTACATTATAGACCTTCCCAGAACTGTATGGACTTTGACAGATTGGGTCTTTGTTTTCATTTTGGCAGGTGCTGCTATCTATGGGCTGAATTTTACAGCCTGAATACTTCCATCTTGGAGGCAGTTGTGCTAAGGTCTCAGGGTCTACAAAGGTCTGGAGCCTATTACAATGACTATAAGAATGCCATCTGTATGTTGTTTAGAACACACAACTGATGGCAAAAGTAGTTTCACCTAGAGTGATGTCATATAAGCAACACACGAACAAAGCTTTCACAAGAATTCAGAGAGAATTAGACATCTACTCCCTCTTGTATCTTTGCTTTAGCCTATGAATTATTTTACATACTGTTGGAATTATATGATACCTAAAATTAATGTTTTTTTCTTTTATTCCCAAGCTCAAGCCTCTCTTCCTTTTTACAAGCCTATACTTAATAGGCTGAGCATTTTGAAATGTATTTAACAGTAAGGTTTAGCATAACACTCAACTCTCAAGCTTGCTCATGCTTTCTGAAACCTCGGGACAGTTTAAAATAGAAACATGTACACAGAATCCCTGCCCATAAGTTTCATATTTTTGGTGTGTGTGTGTGGTAGATTAGCATGGGTGTATGTGCAAGGATTCATGTCCACATGTGGGGTCCAAAGGTCAATGTTGGGGTCTTTCTCACTCTTTCTCTACCAGAGTTTTTAAGACAGTGTCTTTTTTTTTTTTTTTTTTTTGACAGTGTCTCTTAAGAACCTGGAGCTCACCAATTTGGCCGGATTATCGGGAGCAAGTCGCAGAGATCGTCCTGTCTTGTCCACCCTCAGCACTGTGATTACAGGTGCCAGAACTGCAGTCTGCTCTTCCATTTGTGCTGAGGACTGAGTTCCACCTCCCACGCTTGCAAGGCAAGCACTTTACCAACTGGTCCATCTCTTCAGCCCTCTCTAGTTGTATTTTAGACAACTTGTTCAGTTACTACCAAAGTGTAGTGACTACTATTGTGGTCATAAACACAGGGGCAATCCTCTCACAACTTGAGTACTGTATTCTTCAAAAATCTTTCCAACTCCAAAACAATATCTCATTTGTAACAAATTATTCACCTCTGATCTGTTCGCTATAAGAAATAAGCAAGGCTTATTTACTTTGGCTGGAAATTTGACAAGGACATTTTCAAAATCATGCTTCCTGTTTATATTTAAAGTAGAGAAGTTACAAATATTTAAAGAATAATCCTATTGGGGCTGGAGAGATGGCTCAGCAATTAAGAGCACTGGCTGCTCTTCCAGAGGTCCTGAGTTCAATTCCCAGCAATCACATGGTGGCTTGTAGCCATCTATTGTGGGATCTGATGCCCTTTTCCGTCATAAAGGTGTGCATGCAGATAGAGCACTCATATACATAAAATAAATAAATAAAATAAATCTTTAAAGAAAGGAATAATCTTTATTCTTGGAGATTTCACAGTGGATGAATTGTTTATCATACAAACACAAAGACCAGAGTTCTGATCTCCAGAACCCATGTAGAAAACCGGACATTCATAGCAGCCACTTGAAGGCAAAGAGAGGGGGCCCTTAGAGCAATCAGGCTAGATAAGACTCGCTGGACTCATTGAATCTTGGGTTCCGTAAGACCTTACCAAGTAAATAAAGTACAAAGGGTCTCTACATGTAAACACACATGCAGGTATGCACACTTGTACACACAGCACAAACACGTGTAAAAAGTCCTCTGACTTGTTGAATTATATTAGAGGCATTTGATGAACTAGTGAAGAAGATAAAGTTTTCAGGGATGTGGCTCTTTAGTCGTCGGTATAAACCACAGAACTCTCAACAAGAGACTGACCCCCGTCCTAGAGCAGTGTCACCGTTTACACGTTAAATATTTCTTAGTTTTGCTATTGAGCAGAACACTGGCTAAAACACGCCCATTACTGGAACACTTATTGATGGTTAGCACGTGCCATTGCCACAGCACGTGTCTGGAGGTCAGAGGACAACTTTCAGGAGTCAGCCCACTCCTGGTCTATCATTTAGCTTCTGTTATTGAACACAGGCAAAACCCGAAGTAATAAAATTGATGCTGTCAAGTATTAACCAATAAACTTGCCTAGGAAATACTAAGTTACACAAAGTAGAATTTGGTTGAAGGAGAGCTGCCTCCTGTATGAGCGGGAGATGAGTAGGGCACTAACCAGGATTACTAGAAACCGAGGGAAAGAAAATTCTGTAGCAAACTGAAGTTTAGGATGGCTGAGGAAGTTTCTGCCAATGCTGGCCCATCAGGTTCATTTCCAACTAGGCCCCATGCCCATAACAAAAGGAGGCAACCTAGGCTTACTACATTAGGCCTATCCCATATCAAAGAGCATGCCTCTGAACACGCTCAAGGGAGCAGCACGGGATCACACCCAGCATTAAGTCCTGGTCTGCCGTGAGGTTCTCTGTGCTCTCACCAGGAAAAGCCCAATTCTGCCAGGTGGACAAGAACAATACTGTTGTACTCAAATAATTCTGGCAGTATCTTTGCTGTGTAAATCTCCCATCTGCCCAAGTGACCAGACTCGTACTCTTCTGTTTCTGTTTAAACTGGTCAGTGTAACCTGCGGCCAGGACCTGAAAGAGACTTGTGGACGACCGCCTATGTGAAATGCATAAGTCTAAGGTGTGTATAAGCTCGCAACATCTTCCGTTAGATGCTGGCTCCTCTTTGAGCATTAGCCAGAGCCAGACATACAGCATGACTAAAGACCCTTTCCTTTATTAACCTCTCAGCTATTTCTGTGTGCAGTGATTTCTCCCCGGGAAGGCAACTTGATTCTTTTTTTAACCTTTGCTTACTCAGCCATCTTGACGGACCAATTATGTCAAAATTCTTTATTCTAAGCCAGCATGAAAAGCAAAGCAGGTCCCAGGGGGGACCCCTTTTCCCTCCAGTGTCCTGTCTTTGTATCCTGCCCCATTTCTGTGACTCTTACCCTCAGCTAGGAGAGACCGGCACAAGAGTAAAGCTGTACTGGGTAAAGCAGCAGTATTCCTGGGGCCAGCTGCTGGGGTTTTAGTGTTGGACTCTAGCGTCCAAACACCGAGAAGGAGTCGCCCCCAGAGACCATCTCATACACTACAGCCGATGCAAAAGCATGAGGATTTTATTAATTCTGTCATGACAGGGTCCCCCAGCATTTGGGAAGCCGAGGGACCTCAAATAGCAGGTACAGTCTACTTTTAAAGGGGCCACAGAAGCAAGGGGGGTTGTTCTTTGACTATTCTGATTGGCTTATTTGAAAGGGCTATTACCAATAATTGACTGGAGAGCTGTTGCCAGATCAGATGAGGTAAGAGGTCATTTTGACCCCGTTTCCCAGGGGACCGAACAAAGCATACGTATATGGGTAATTGTTCAGGAACTGAGTACGTGCGAGTGTAGCTGTTAGGTCCTTGGTTCCCAGGGGAGGAGGGGAAGCACTATGGCACAGAGGCTGAGAGGATTCAGAATTGTCAAAAAATGGCTTCAGGATTGTCTTAAAGTCTTACATTAGCATTGCACAAATGCACTGACTGCTTTTGTCTGACAAAATCATGAAGCGCTCCTACTTAGTCTTATTTTTCTCTTGGAGTAGTCTGGGTAGAAGTAGGTATTTTTTAAGTGATTCAGGTCTGATGGTGGGAGGTGGAGGGTGTCCCAACCCAGAGCCTTGACAGGCTCTCCTAGTAACCCTGGTAGAGACCAGAGCTATGACAGGTTTGTCATAGCTCCTGCCAGGGACAAGGCCTTAGTTTTTGGTTTACTGGAGATGGTTGGAGCTGGGCAAACAGATGTTGGAGAAAGCCACATACTCAGGGGCAACCAATCAAGCCCCTTGACCTTCTGCTGGCACAGCAGAAGACCACAGTCTCCTGATAAATAAAGGTAGCTTTCCCTACCCCGCTGCTGAAAGGTCCCTAACCACTAGGACCTCCCACCAAATAGTCCCCAGACTAATCTTTCCTCCACAAATCAGCCGCAGAGTAATCCCTCCTCTCTTGAATTCCCCTAACTTCACTTCGCTTAAAAGGAGCTTGCGACCTTCTTAGGGGGTTGCCATGTGCCACTCCAATGTTGAAATTAATAAAGCGTTCTTGTTATTGCATACATGGCTGCTGGTCTTTCCTTGGGGACTTCTCTAGGACCCTAACAACAGGAGAATCTCAGCGTTTGTCTTGAGATCCAGACCGACTTCTGGTGTCACTGGCTGCTCTATGTCCTTTCTCAAAAGCCTCAGCCATATTTATACTATCACTCAGACCTCCACATTTATGTTGCCTGTGTCACACTGCTCCGTCTACACACACACACACACACACACACACACACACACCCCGCTATTAGATTGGATAAGAAAGAACATAAAGGGCATATTCTGCCCAGAAAGAACAGCTCAGGACAATCTACTGTCCCTGCTAGTAGGGGGAGAGATGAATCCCCCAAGACGACCGCCTATAGAAAATAATAACAGCTACGCTTTACCTAACCTTTAGTCAATTGGTATATAGGAGAAGCAATTTTGTACTTTGAAACTGTCATCTTGTGACTGCTTTGTGGTTTTTGTCGTTATAAACCCTTTACAATGATAGACGTGGTCCTTTCCCCTCCATCTGCTGAGTCAGACTACCAGGTAGGGGACCCGTACTAGCCCGTATATAATAAATAAAATCTTCCTTTTGCATTCAGAAGTGTGGCTCCGTGGTGATCTTCTCGGGGGCTTTCAGGACTTAGGCACGACCGAATGCATTAGAAACCTCAACGTGTGCAATAACACATAAAAGCTCCCTCTGGCTGGGGGTGTGAGAACCGCAGAACTCCAAGGCTCCTGAGACACCCGCGCACAATTCAAAGAGGAAGCCCAGCGGGCGGGCCCGGAAGCGGAGGCTCGCTGGTGGCTCGAGCTGGCGGGCCCCTCCGAGCCACTTCCGGCAGTGCCAGACATGGCAGCAGGCCGAGACCGCGGGGACTTGGCTGCCCGGCAGCTTGTGTTCCTACTTCCAGGTAAACGCGGGCGGCGCGTGGGCCGGGAGTACTCAGGGTGGCGGCGGCGCGAGGCTTTTGCTCGGGTCAGCACCGGCCCGCGAAGTCCTGGCGAGCGCGGGCCGGGCTTCGGTGAACCCACAGTTTGCTGCACATCCTGGTCACGTGTCACGCCAGGCGGGAGCTCCAAACGCGGGAGCGTAGTGAGAGCGTGCGGGTTCACCGATGTGTTGTTAAGTTGGGGAAGCTGCGTAGGTTAAGCTGAGCTTGGTTTAAAGCAGTTCCGGGACACAGTGGCAGTCGAACCCCCAGAACCAGGCCCTTCGATATCCCATGGGGGATCAGCCATCAGGACAAGTGGGGGCCTGGGACAGTGGACAGTCGGTGCCACATAAGCAGGAACCTATTAAATGGCAAATGAAATAAATTTGGGCTAGGGACTGCAAGCTAGAAACAGCCCGCCATTTTATAGGCACTTTAATTTGATGTTACAACGTGGGCGGAGAGGAAACTTCCCTAGTCACTTTAATTTTGAATTTTAGCTCAGCAAACGCAGAGCATGTTTGCAGCAAATATACTTCACCGGGGTACGAATACCCAGTGATGTAGGTTTTTACAGTCTTAGCATAACAAACAGACACGTACATCGTTTGCGTACATAGCTCCTCTTCTTTGTAAGGGGTTAAGCACAATCAAATGTATGGATTGTGAGTATGAAATTCACCCAGCTGAACGTGGTCTGCTGCCGGTCAGCTAGCAGCTCATACCGCTTGTAGAGAACCCCAGGTGTTCTGTTATCGGGTTGGTTGTGCCTGTTTGGACTCCTGTCTTCCTTCCCTCTGTATGACTTCTGCTAGATCCATCCTTGTTGTTTCTTCCGTGGGTTTTGTTGGTTTTTGTTTTTTTGCTTGTTCGTAATTGCTGCTTCTAGTTCCTTGTATGCGTATCAGTACTACACTCCTGAGGATGGATGACATTTGATGACATTCGGTGTTTCCGGTTTGCGACTCTTAGGAGTTACACTTTGGAGGCTGTCGATGGACACGGGCATTCATGTCTTTAGAGTGTCTCTACCCTGGAGTGGTATCTCTTCTTAGGTGCTTTGTGGATTTAGCTTTAGTACTGCAAAACGGTTTTCTGAAGTGGTCGTTACTGATTCAGCCACCCATGAAGAGCTCCAGTTAAGCCATACCTCATTGCAAGTGTTCGAATGGAAAAGCGGCTAGTGAGCATTCGTGGCTTTGGTGGTCCTTCAGAGGGCGAGCTGGATACCTTATTTTAATTGGGGGAAGGGGAGCCTCCGTTCACACTACGGTTACATCAATATAATTCGATTTTCAGGGTAGGGGCCTCATTCTTCTGTAATCAAGTATGTTGATACTATGTAGATGCACACAAGTAGCTGGTCATAATTTGAGTTTTTTGTTGTTGTTGGCTGTTTTGTTGGTGTTGACTTCATTCTTAAAGTGCGTCATAATCATATCAAACCCAGAAATGAAGGGAGTCAAGTATTGAATGCATCCCTCAACATGGAAGGTGGTGGTGAGGAGCGTTACAGCCCGGCGTCTGTTGAAAGCTGAGGTGCCCTCTCACCTTTTAGTCATTAGACTGATAGTACTGTGGTCAGTGGCAGAGGTTCGGGGTTCCGAAACTGTTCAGACTTGAACTTCCTGTCTTCCGTTCTTCCAGATGGCCTTTAATGACACCTGCAGGCTCTAAGGGTACACACATGTTTGCTAGCTCTTCTGGTGACTGCCCTCAAATGTAAGGGCATTTGCCTCCTGGGAGTGAATGGGACTGAGACCCAAAAATACGCTCATTCACTAGATTCCCAAGCAGTAGTACTGCTGTGGCTGACCCAGGGACACCCCTGGAACTACCACAGTGAGGACCGGCCCCGGGGAGCTGGAGTGTGGGTACACACTCCTGAGGTTTCACTCTGCGATGGACAGGATTTTCCGTAGTCAAGAAGTGCATGGCAGAATCCAGGATGAGGACCATCTTCACATTTTGTTGTTCCTTGCAGCAGGTGAAGAGTCATTCCAGGTAGCTGTGGAGTCAAGAGCAGGAGACTGTATTCCCTCGGCTAAGTGCTACAATGAAGTTGAGCCCTTCATAAAGATTATAAATAGTATATGAAAGTTGGCAAGGGTATTTGGCAGAAGTGGTCTGTACTGTTCCCAAAGTGAGCAGAGGGTTGTATACCTTCGGGGCACAGCTACCTAATCTTGTGATGATGCTCCCCCAGCATTTAATTTACAGTCAGGTTGCCTGGAATAGTTGGGAAGATCATATTTAAAAGTTGGTTGCAGGTTAATTTTCCTCTAGCTCACAATTTTGTTTTGCTAAATTGAAAATCCGAGATAAAAGAAAGCTGGGCCATGGAGGGCTGGTTCATTTTGCAGGCAGCTGGGTGTTGCAGCAAGACCTCCTTGCATCTGGGATGAATGCAATGCTTCTCCCATGGAGCCTGGAGTATGACACAGATGGCTGTTCACTTACTCTAAGGCCATTCACATCTTTATTTTTGGACTAGGTTGTAAGTTTCCATCCCTCTTTGCTGCCCGCCCTCCCCCCCCCCAAGAAGGCAAATGGTGAGGCATATTTTTTAATACCTGTTTTGTAGTCAAACATTTTCACACTTGTTAGTTCTGCTGAGCTAGCTGGGTGAGGTGTGAGAGTCACTCAGGACCCATCATGACTGTAGGTGGGCAGGAGACTGCCTGTGGCAATTAGGGAAGACCTCCCAGGAAATGTGCGCACACTGGGAACCCTAGTGTTCTATGACAATAAAAGGAGAGTGGAATAATGTAGGACACATATATGTGGGTCCTCATGTAGTAAACATGTCCTTAATCAGCCCCCTAAGTGAGGAAGTCCCCAGATCAAACTGGGCTTCAGCACAAATCCTCAATTCTGGACATATTTGTCATCAGTGCTATGCCTTTGTATCTTACAAAAGTTCATATTAAGAGGTAAAGGAAACAACTTTGTACGTCACTTAGGCTGGTAGCACAGGTGGTGGCCTGTTCTTCTGGAGACTAAAGAACAGGTAGATTTTAGGGAATCCCAGGCCTGCCATCCTGGTGTTCATATACAGTAGCTTTTTAGCTGGGATGTCATGATGACCACAAATGGTCTCTAAATACAAAACAAAACAAGAGTTGAAACGTTGTAAGAATCTACATTTTAGGATTATGTTCTCATTGAAAAAGATTTTTTAAAAATCAGCTATAGAAGGGAGAGGTAATTTTCCTGTTTAATGATGGAAGGACTTTATATTAACACTATTTCTGATTAATGACCTTGTAAAACCAAAGAAGCACATCTTTTTTTTAAAAAAAAATATTTATTTATTTATTTATTTATTTATTTATTTATTTATTTATTTATTTATTTATTATGTATACAATATTCTGTCTGTGTGTATGCCCGCAGGTCGGAAGAGGGCACTAGACCTCATTACAGATGGTTGTGAACCACCATGTGGTTGCTGGGAATTGAACTCAGGACCTTTGGAAGAGCAGGCAATGCTCTTAACCTCTGAACCATCTCTCCAGCCCCCAGGAAACACATAAGTTTGGGGGCAAGAAAGAGTGTGAAATACAAGGTAAAAGAAGGGCTGCTTTAGACTCTGTCAGTGGTCCTAGGAAACAGCTGACCTTTTCCTTTTACCTAAGGGTTAACCTCAGGAGAAAAGTGGAAGTGGGCTCTTCCCCCTTTGTGTGCGTGCAGGCTAGCCTTTAAAAACAAGCCCTGTGTGTGTTGAAAGCTGCCCTTCCCTTGGCAGGTGGTACAGAGCCTGGCCCATCCAAGTGTGGCCTTGAGACAGCCTTGAATAATTCAGCAGGACTTGTCGGAGGAAGGCTCCCCATTCCCTGCAGGCATTTTCTGGGTTGTCCAGCAAGGATTGCGGTTAATATTTTCCACACAAATCTGGCTTTGTCTTTATCCAGCGTTTATTGGTGGGGCCCTGCTGACCTTTCTCAGATGTCTGCTGGACTTGCTCCGGGCTGTTGAGCACATTCTGAGGTGATGGATGGAATCGCTCAGCTGCCAGTTGGTAATCTGGTGCTGTAATCTTGTCCTCTTAGTGATCGTTCCAAAAGATGTGGAGCAAGTAACAACTATGGCTCCTATAGCTTTATCCCTCAGGCCAGAATAAAAAGTCATAGAAGAAAGTAAATTTTAAAATTTGAATAGCATCCTGGGAATGGCAAAGGTTTGCCACACCATAGAGCATTACCTGGAACGTTAGGCAACTGCTCAGTCAGGGCTGAAGCCTGTCTGTAATGAAAGACACCTGGTCCCTGCTTTATCACTTCTGTGTCCTTGGCTGCCGCCTGCAGAGTCTCTGTTCCTCATTTCTGCAGTGGGAGAGCAGAGCCCGTCTTGTGGGCTAGTGTTATGTCCACCCTCTGTCCCCTTTCAGCAGGGCCAGAGCCAGAGTGGGTTTTTATAATGACCCCCAAAATATCTCCTTTCATTTCTTCCTGCAGTGTTTTCCCTAACACCGTCTTTGCTCTTGTGCCAGTTTCTGCTCTGGCTTCAAGGCGCAACTTTAGTTCCCACAAAGCCAAGTTATTTGCTCTAGACCAGCTTCTCTTTCTTTGACTGTTGGTGGTGTTTTATGTACCTGCAATCCTATCTCCGCTTTCTCAGCTTGGAAAATTCCTGAAACCCAACGTCAAGGCCCTTCTTACCGGGCCCTTCCTATGGGTGGGACCTCTTCTACCAGTGTTAAATTCCTACTCAAGTTAGGAGCTGAGGGCAATCCAGGTGTGTTCTTCCTCTGTAGCCATTAGCTCGTCAGCAGGGATGAAGGCTCCGGCTTCGGAGGGTGTCTCTGAGAGGCTGAAGCATGTTACTTGAAGCTTCCTTTGTGAATCCTTCCTTCCTTGTGCTCCAGTCAAAAGCTGAAGGACCTGTGAAGAAGTCACAACTGCGTATTCCCCCCCCCCCAAGTTTTTGGGTGGCGCTTGAGGTCTCTCCTGCTTGAGCAGACGCTCATGAAGGCCTTG